TTTTGGGCAGTGTAGAGTAGGGCTTGTTGTTTGTCATTTCTCCGATCACAAATGCAGACATGGTTTTATGTTTACGCGGCGCGATGCAACGCAACGCGTAAAAAGACAGTATAAGTCATTATAATCCATAATTATGTCCCCACTGGATGCAACGAATGCCTCGTTTATAATAGGTTTTCATGTTTTTGAATCATCGCTCCGGCCTGACAGGGCATCATCACAATGTGGTAAGGGGTGTAACATTTCCGTCACACGCTTGAGGTATTCGGCCAATCACAACGCACTGGATAGCTGGCCAATCACAGCACACCTCGCTTTTTCAGACCGATGAGCTTTGTAAAAATCGACGCGTTTCAGAAAGGCAGGGCATATACTGTAGGAGAAACAATAATGTACAGTATGTGGAAAATAATGTGTTTTTTTAACCTTACACCGCATAAACACATTTCATTACACCAAATACACAAAATAATGTTATTTTTAGCAGCATCATATGACCCCTTTAAGTCAGGTGTTTTCAGTAGTGATAGCAAAGTGAAGCATTCTGAACCAGTGAAGCTTTCATCACAATTGTATCGGAAAAAGGTTCATTACTCGAAGCTTTTTAAAACGGTTTATGCTGTGGCCATATATCACGTGCTTTTCTCAAAACGAATCAAGCTCCGATACAGTGCTTCAATGTGTAATGTGTTGTTTTTTTGATACAAGCTTCGAAGCTTCGGTGTAGTGATGTTCGTAACATCACTAGTTCTCTTTCAAACAATCGCTCGGTATCTCACTATTGGAAATGCCCCAGGCGTGATAGACTATGGAAGCACCAATTACATCACGTCTGTCCGAAGGACGGACCAATCACAGCTCATGACAAGGAGCCCACTCCCTCCATATATATATGGTTGTGATCCCTGAAAACGGCATTCTTGTTCTCTTCCCCGTGAAGATTTTCCTTTAGCACCTATTCTGCGCTGCTTCAGTTCACAAACGTACCGTCAAGGTAGACGTTGCCAAACACAGTGCAGTTAAAATCTGTAGTGGATTTCTCTACTCGTTACTGAGTTTTTTCTAGCTAACGCGTTAAGGCGAGCTAAGATTATTCTACTCACCATGTCGGGGTCCAAGGTCGCAGCGGAGAAAGGGAAGGATGTCCCTTCGCGCTCGTGTCCGGCAGCTTGTGGATTTATGATCTCGGGCAGGGATTCGCATCCGATGTGTATCGCATGCATGGGTGTTAAGCACGCTCAGGCCGCACTGGCGGATGCGGAGAGTTGCGCGCACTATCGTGTAATGCCGGCCAGGATCTTGGAAAGAAGGTTTCGGGTGGCTGCATCTTCTAAAGACGATCCGGTTCTATCTTCTGTCCCTCCTTCAACAAAGGGGGTTCAACCCTCTCCCCCACGGGATCTTTCTTCGTGGGGGGATATTATGGATTCAGAGTCTCCTGAGTTTACGCCACTTTTTGACCAGCAGCTGCTTGCGGAAGGCGATGAGGTGGAGGGAGACGAGGAGGAGGATGAGGAGATGTTAGCTCGCCTCCTCCGAGACGAGCCGGATGATGAGGAGGATGACACTATCCTGTCTGCAGCACAAGCGTCCAGGCCCATGAGCGCGCAAAGCGGCGACGTGGCGTCAACGGTGGTAGATTGTGACCTAGTGGAAGTTTGTAAGCGTGCGGCAGCTAAGCTTGGCATCGCTTGGCCCGTAACTCCTGGGGATCCAGGAGTTAAACGTGACATCTATGATGGGAAAAGTCTTCCTTCTCGCCTTCCACAGGCGAAACCACTGCTTCCCGCTTTGCCGGCGTGTGTAGCAGAGATGAAGCGATCATGGGACAAACCCTTTTCTCATCGTGTGCCCTTCAAGGGATACTCGTCACTCGATGTAAGTGAAATGGAAGGGCTTGGGCTCTCTAACCCTCCCAGTCAAGCAGTCAGTGGCTCACCACCTGCATCCAAACAGGCGAACCACTCTCTCATCTGCTAGTCCCTCCCTCCCTGGGAAAATGGAACGCTTCACCGTTTCCATGTAACAAAAAAATTATAAATCCTCAGCAATGGCGGTGCGGGCACTTAACGTCACTTCGTTGTTGACGGCCTATCAAGCCGAGTTGTTGGAGGAGCTGGGCACTCAGCTGGACGCCGGCAATCCAAACCCGGGGGTCTAGGAGGAGATCTGCAACATAACGGATCTCAATCTACGCACCTCACATGGCGCGGTGCAAAGCTGCGGCCATACCATGGCTCTTGCCGTTGCGGGCGAGAGGTCGCTGTGGCTAAATCTATCGGGTGTCGGGGACAGGGAGAAGTTAAATTTTCTCGACACTCCTGTGAATTCGAGTGGATTGTTCGGCCCAGCCGTTGCGGCGATGAGACAGAGGAGCGACCTCCAGAAGAAGGAAGGCGAGGCGTTTGACATCTGTCTGCCACGTAAAAGAGCACCGCGTCTTCCTGTTCCCCCGCGTCCTGTTCCTCCGACGCAGAACAGGAGGTTTTTGAATGCGTCCAGGACTGCAAAACCCCAGAGCACGGAGCAGGCGGGACTGCCCCCCGCTGCTTCAAACGCTAAACCATGGGGAAAGCTGTCATTCGCGGTGGCGGCTGCAAGGTCCAAGTCCGCTAACCCTTCTAACAAAAAGAGGAGGGATACCTAGGACGCAATCTCTGCATGGGAGGGACGGGCAGCACCTAGGGTTCTCTGTGATGTCCTCTCCCGAGCCCTGCATTTCTGTTCCCCCACCCGCGAAGAAGCGGAAGATGTGGAGTTTGGGCGGAAAAATGGTTCTAAGTTGTCCATGAATCTGCCCCAGTGGCCTCTCCAGAGGCCTCTCCTATCCATGACACGGGCCTGGCCCTCCGTCCCTCCCCCAGTTCCGGCTCCACTCCACCACCCTCCTGGACTTTTTAGGTTTTGTTTGGGCGTCTGGAGCCGCCCTTAGAGCGGGGGATATGTAATGTGGTGTTTGGGTTTTGTCATGTTCATGTTTTTATGTATTTTATTTTGTAATTGTTTTATGCTGTTAGTGTCATGCTTCCCTTGCCTTCTTGTCTTCATGCTATTGGTTCCTCTGTTCATTGTGTCATGTTCTGATTGGTTGTTTTAGTCATGGGTCTTGTTTCCCATTGGTTTGTTCTTGTCATGTGACCCTCATTGTCTGATATAAGTAGCCATCATGTTCCCATAGTTCTTCGTCGTGTATTGATGTTGTAACCCGCTGTCGGTGTGTCTACTCTGTTATGCCTCGTCAAGTCAAGTCAAGTCAAGTCTCTAGTCTTCGTTTATTGTTTGGATGTTTGGATCACTGTAAATAAACTGCACTTGGGTTCTTCACTATGCTCGCCTTCAGTGGACTGAATTCGTTACAAATATCAATATATAATTTTTTTATCCAAATAATGTATAGTCCTACAAAGCTATTATTATCAGAGCATGTGAGCAGAGCATAGCGGGAGCAGATCAGTGAACGAGAGGGTAGTGTCATTTTACCAGCGTTGCCATGTTACAGCACAGTAGCGCTACTGCAAACAGGAACAAGTACACTACATAGAAATTTCCTGTCGGCGCGTTATTTGAGCTAGTGATGGGGGGGAACCTTTTTGAAGCTTCAAATCAACTGAACCAATTGCTTCGCAAAATGATTTACTGATTCGAAGCGTTCGAAACACCACACACTGGTGGTGATGCCTGCTGGTCCAAACTGTGTAAATTCAACAATAACTTGAAGAAAACATGCATAGAAACAGCTTTTACAAACCCAATGCAAATGCTTTATTGAAAGTATAATATATTAAATGCAATTAAAATACCATTAAATATGAAGTGTCTGTATAATGTGTTTTTAAAAATAATTATTTTTAATTGTTATTATTATTAATTATTATTCATTTTTGTGTTTGTTTTATGGTGAGCTTGTCTAAACAGGCCAGTAAGTGTCTAGTAACTAAAACTCATCATTTTAATTATACAAATGTCTTGTTAAAATGCAGGCGTGGCTCGTCTTGGGCTACATGGGCCAAAGTATTCATCCAAAACATAGACCTCTATATAAACTGAATCAATAATAAATTGTAAATGTGTTCAGCATTCTGCAACAAATATTTTTCGGATTTTAAGTTGTAAAGTAAGCAGTATATATTAAAATCCAGCACATGGCTTTAGCAGTCATGTATGATACTAAGCGGGGTAGATGGTGCCTGAGACCTCCCGAGCTCAACAGCGCCCCACAATTTTGCAATGTAAATCTGTGGTGAAAAGGGAAACTGCAGCGCGTTCTAATTGAGAGCCATTGGGGCAGATTTGAGTTTCAGATTTGACTCGCATGATTCACGGGTTCACAGAGATCACCCCCCCAAACGGCAACCCATTGAAATTTCGAAACATTTCACAACAGTTATGACTGAAATTTACTGAAATTTTCAGTTATTTACTGAAATCACGTGATTCTGTTAGTTTGATACACACTCCGAACCACTGTTTTGAAACAAATGATTCACAAAGGTTTCGAAGCTTCATGAAGCAGTGCTTTGAAAGCGTGCATCACTAATTTGTGTGGACTTTGCTTTTCCGGTGAGCATGAGCGGTATACGAGTGGAGCGTTCATATAGGCCGTGAGCAACTCAACGGAACGCACATTTATAAAGTGGAATATTGAGCAGAGAGTCACACCGCGCAGTGACGATGGCTAGAACACTGTTGCTGCTCTATATATTTTCGGCTGTTTTTCTCTTTCGCCGATAATTTTCGGTGCCTGAAATTTTGGTGCATCCCTAGTTCTAAGCCTTTTATCCTGATTCTCTCATGTATTGTTTTCCTGGTTCTTAATATTCTTCCTGTATATCTGGATTACTCTGTACTTAGCCCTGAACTCTGTCATTGTTTTGGATTGCTTAGTGTGTCTGACCCCATGCCTGTTTCGACTATGATTGTGGATTACCTTTTAATAAACTACTGCACTTGGTTTCTCAAACTTTGTGTCCCCTAGCTGTTTTGTAACAGAAGACTTCGCCACTATGAATCCAGCAGTTGAGTTAGTCCGCTTGCGCCAAGATAATCATACCCTTGAGGAGTATGTTCAGATTTTCTTGGACATTGCTAATGTTTCTGATCTGTCGGATTATGCTCTAATTGACTTTCTGTTATGGGCTTAACATTCTGCTCAAGGACAAGCTAATCCGTGATGCTCCTCGAGGCTCGTTCAGTGAGTTTCTGGACTATGCTTTAATGCTGAGTGGTTCCGCTTTCACAGTAGGGGAGGTCAAGGAGGATGCTACCCCTAAACATTTTTTAGGGGTGGGGGGGAGGGCATGGTCTCCAGCATGCCCTACACTGAGGGTCGCAAGCCCAGTGTTTGTAGTAGAGACCTGCACTCCTGCAGAACTACCGCAAGACCCACGGGACCAGAAGCAAGAGTTGCTTGAGTTCTTGTGCAGTGCTGAAATTTGCGTGCTCATGAATCCTCTCCTCTCGCCACCAGCCCAGATCCTCTCCACAAGATGGCCGCCAGTCCAGAACCTCTCCACAAGACTTCCGCCAGTCTAGAGCAGGGATGGGCAACTTTGGTCCTGGAGGGTCACTGTCCTGCAGAATTTAGCTCCAACCCTTATCAAACACACCTGAACAAGCTAATCACGGTCATCAAGATCCCTAGAAAGCTACAGGCAAGTAAGTTTGATTAGGGTTGGAGCTAAACTCTGCAGGACAGTGGTCCTCCAGGACCGAAGTCTTGAGCCATCATGGTCGCCTAGTAAGGCAGTGCCCAGTAAGCTAGTAAGATAGTAAGGCAGTGCCCAGGCAACCAAGACTGATGTCCAGTGTGGCAGACCCACCGCTGATGTCAGTATGAGGGGCGGGGATCCCGGTAATCTCAGTGCTCTCAAGCCCGGCAATCCCACCCTTTGGGCAATGCTGCCCTTCCAGTAATGGCGGTTGCCATTTTGTCTGACTGGGCTATACACACTTCTGAGGCATCTTGGTGGTCCCCTGAGCCATCAGCTCCGCTGAAGTGGTCCTCGGCTCCATCAGCTCCACCCTGGTGGTCATCTACTCCACCTTGGGGATCTTCGGTCCCATCTGCTCTGCTGTGAATTTTTTACTTAAATTTCATTTAGTTTAACTTTATGTATTAAAATAACTAAATGTCAGAATCAGCAGGAAGGGACCCTAATGCAGAGTGAGTGAATCAATGATTCATTGAAAACACACAAGTTTCC